TTGTCTTTTTCATGACCGGCAAGGGGATTGCAACCCTTGGTGTGGTGTCGCCCACACCACGCTCAGCCAGTGAGCGCACCAGCCATCCCTATATAGGATCCGAACCCGCAGCGGGAGCGTTGCTTCGCTCCCAGCGCCGCACTCTCCCGAGTGCACCACGGGCTCGGCCCGGTCGTAACCATCTTTAAATGTAGAGTTCAATGGCGTTAATTATGTTCACATTGTTGGCAACCATCACTACCAATCTCCAGAACTTTTTGATCATCCAAAACTGAAACTCTGTACCCATTAAACAATAACTCCGCATTCTCCCTCCCACAGTCCTTGGCAACCGGCATTCTACTTTCTGTGTCTATGGATTTGACTATTCCAAGTACCTCATATAAGGGGAATTATACAATATTTGTCCTTTCGTGTCTGGCTTATTTCGCTTAGCATAATGTCTTCAAGGTCAATCCATATTGTAGGCTGTAGTCCTGATAACTTTTATCTGTTATTTTCTACTACAATCTATGTGACTTTTGTTAGCGTCATCCATTCCACTATCAAATGTGGGTATGTTTACAATATATTTTACATAATTTCTTTCCTTTTTCTGCCAGCTCTCTTCTCCAACTTTTTAGAGGGGGGTGAGGGGGTGCAGCTGGCTGGTACAGTCTTCCCCAGCTTTGATCGCTTATATCTTTTCTTTAATCAAGAAACTGTTTTATTTCTTTAAAAAAAATGTTAGATTGAAATTGTATTAGTTCTTGGAACATTTCTTCTTCCAAAGGATATTCTTCATCTGTCCTTTGCTTGTCATGCTTTCTTTTTCTTTTTCTTTTTCTCTTGGCAGCTGGCCTCTACATGTCATGCTTTCTTTTTCTTTTCCTATTATCTTGGCTTGCATCTTCTGTTGGATCCGAATAGAGTAGTTTTATCTGGGACTGTGTTTACCTTGGCTTGCTTTCGCTGTTCTCTTAAATGTAAGCTGGCTGGCTGGATTTTGTCGTTTGTTTGGAATCTCTGTTTAGTCCTTTGGCTTCTTTGGTGAATAGAGGGGTATGACCTGAATTAAGAGGTAGTTGAGTGTCTCGATTTACTTATGTTGTCTCAAGAGTATTTTTCACACAGAGTCCAATGAATTACCTACCCTGGAGGCGTGTGCAGATCCATGGGAGGAGTCTCCCCTAAGATTTGAGCTATTTCCACTCCGTTTCACAGACAAGCAGGTCATTCTGGTTGAAAGTGGGGCCTTTATAGCACTCCACGGCACACAGGGTTTTGATTTGATGGGTCATCTTTGCTTAAATAACTTTAATCCATAATTGCATAGTTGATTTTCAGGCTGTAGTTTCTTTCTTCTGTGAAGAGTTGCGCGGCCGGCCCGTGGCTCACTCGGGAGAGTGCGGTGCTGATAACACCAAGGCCACGGGTTCGGATCCCATATAGGGATGGCCAGTTGGCTCACTGGGTGAGCGTGGTGCTGACAACACCAAGTCAAGGGTTAAGATCCCCTTACCGGTCATCTTTTTAAAAAAAAAAAAAAAGAGTTGCTGTTTGGTTCTCCATGACCTCTTTACTTAAAAAAAAAAATTCTATCGCTGCCTGAGACTCAGAGAGATGAGTGTCAGCTCTGGGCATAATCCTTCAGTTGGCCTAATTTTATTGTATCTGACAATGTAGTATAATGCTTATTAGGACAGACTCTGGAATCAGAGTGCCTGAGTTCAAATTTTGCCTCTGCCACCTGTTAGCTGATGAACACGAGCAATTTATTTAACTTCTCTGGACCACAATTTCCTCATCTTTGAAATGGGGCTATTAATAGTACCAACTTCAGAGGGCTGATATGAGGATTAAATGAGTTAATACAAATAAAAGACTTAGAACAAATGCAGGAATACAGTATGTGCCTAATAGATGTTAGCCACTGTCACTGTATTTCTTGTAGTCTAAATTAGGGGTGAATGTCCAGCTCTTCCACCATCTTTATCAGAAGCTCTTGAGGATTAAATTCAGCAACATCAGGAAAACCCATGGTACAATAATTGACACATAATAGGCCTTCAAAACATTTGTTGAATGTAAAATAATGAATATATCTGCATTTGTGCCCCAGGAAGAAGAAGGATGCAGTGAGTGGTGGAGGCAGGGAGAGAGGCTACCCAAGAGTTTGTCTTTGCTCTGGGCTATAGGTTCCCTTTCCTCCCATGTAAACATTTACTGAACACTTCTACGTGCTTGCCACCAGCAAGTCAAAGATAATCAAGATCCCTCCAGGAGCTTGCAGGCTTAGAGTTCTCTCAATACCTGCTTACTCACTTGGATTCTAAATATTAAAAGGTAGTTGTAGAGTTAGCTCAGTTGGTTAGAGCATGGTGCTGATAACATCAATGTCCAGGGGTTGATCCCTCTACCAGCTAGCAGCCAAAAACCAAACAAACCTTAATTTTCTTTTTTTTTTTTTTTTTTTTTTGTGGCTGGCCAGTACAGGGATCGAACCCTGGACCTTGGTGTTGTCAGAACCATTCTCTAACCAACTGAGCTAACAGGCCAGCCTAAAAGGTAATTGTATTAACACATTCCGTAAATTAAACTCAACAATATTCATGCAGTTCTAGCTATTGAGGACAGAAGCACAAACACAGCCTCAGATAATCTCAAACTAATCTGTTCCAGGTTTATGATGGGCTAAAGTGTTAATTTCTTATGATTTTTAAGAAATCCCAAGAAAAATGTGGTATTTGTGCCACATGCCAGTTACTTTCCCCAAGATGCGCTGTCCGCTTCACACAGGGGCCACGTTTCCTGCCTTGCCTACATCTCTTGCTACCAAGGGATCAAACCAGACTCTTGACTTGGATGCCCTCTGTGCATGATGGGGTGCTGCTGTGCACACATAAGTGTCATTCCAAACTGGTCTTCCAGTTGGTGTATAATATAGGGATTTGGAGTATTTCATGGAACCCAATTGTAGGAAATACATCTAAATATGCAAAGTCATAGGGACTACTATCTCCATTACTCCCTAGGAGTGCATGGTTTTTCCAGCTGGTTAAGATTAGGTTCTGCTGTAAGTAAACCCAAAATAACAGCAGCTTGAAAGAGGTAAAAATTTCCTTTTCTTGAAGTGGAAATATGGATAGGCAGTCCAGGACTGCCTCAGCAGAGACCCATCCTTTAATCTTGTTGCCATTCTCAACATGTGGCTTTCACCTCATGGTTCAAGATGGCTCTTTCTTTTTCTTTTTTTTTTTTTTTTTCCAAAAGATGACTGGTAAGGGGATCTTAACCCTTGGCTTGGTGTTGTCAGCTCCACGCTCAGCCAGTGAGCCAACCGGCCATCCCTATATAGGATCCGAACCCATGGCCCTGGTGTTATCAGCACCGTACTCTCCCAAGTGAGCCATGTGCCAGCCCTCAAGATGGCTCTTTCAACTTGAGATGTCCCATTTTCATTCCAGCCAGCAGGAAGGAGAAAAGAGAAAGAGTGGGACATGCCCCTCCCATTAAAGATTACTTCCTAGAAATTGCACAAAAATTAAAGATACTTACGAGAAATTGCATTTCTATTCCCTTCCCAAAACAGTCACCTGGCCACATGCAGCTGGAGGGAGGCTGGGATAAATGGTCCTTATATGATGCCTTGCTAAAACTTAGGGGCTCTATTACTGGAGAAGAGGGGTGAGCATCAGGGAACAACAGCAGTTTCTGCAGGTCTTTGGTCTCTGCTTCTCTCCACAAATTGATTCTTTTCTGCAGACCAGCCATCTCTGTTCATAGTTTCTGACCCCTCAAACTTTCCAGGATGGCCATAATGTCAGCTCTTAGCCCAGCTCCACAGGTCTTTCCAGTTCCAAAGCAGCACCTGGTATAGCCAACTCAGCTTCTGTTTCTCAATTCCAAATTCCTGGGAGAGAACACTTGATTCATCCTGTTTGGGTCAGGTGATCACCTCCTCAGCTCTGAAGCAATCATCTGTGGCGAGGGGCATGCTGGGGTTCTCCCTCTCAGGACAATTCTTTAAGGAGGGGATGTAGTGGAAGGAAGTGCTGAGCATCTCTGGTAAGTCCTCCTGAGCTTACCCCTATCACCACAGCCGTCCCATTTGATGCGGTTGTCTGCTCATCCTTAGGGCAGGGATGCATCTTGGTCCCACCTTTATTTATTTATTTTTTTTAAAAGATGACCGGTAAGGGGATCTTAACCCTTGGCTTGGTGTTGTCAGCACCACACTCAGCCAGTGAGCGAACCGGCCATCCCTATGTAGGATCCGAACCCGGGGCCTTGGTGTTATCAGCACCGCACTCTCCCGAGTGAGCCATGGGCCGGCCCCTTGGTCCCACCTTTAACTCAGAGCCTAGCAATTATCTAGCACACTCAATATCTGATGTAAAACAAATAATCCAGTTTAGTCCTCAGTTTCACAGAGGTTGAATGCTTGCCCAAATTAATATAGTAAAAAAAAGCAACAGGGGCAGCACAAGAACTCAGGACTCAAGACTCCTAGTCCCTGGAACGATTTCCCAGAATTAGCCAGCTAGCTATGGTTTGTCTTCCCCCTTGTTCAGCACTTGTCTCTGCTTGCACCCCTGCCCGGGACTGCAAAGAATTCCCCCCAGATGTGGCCATGTGGGCCCCAGCCTGGAAGACATTGGCTGCACCACTCAGAGTCTAATTTCTTATGTCAGCTTTCCTGCCAAGGCCAGTGTCTCCCTATAGGTCCAAGCTCAATCCCTTTGGAGAAATCCCATCCTGATGAGGCCTTGGCCAAAGCTAGGCTCTGGATGCAGGGACACTCAAGGAGGTGGGCTGAGTAAAGGCAGAAGTGGGAAGCAAGATCTATCTCCATGGCCACCTACCCCAAGCTGCTCTCAGAGGAGGGTCTAGCCTTAGAAAAGAGCTAATGCCTCTTCTTCCACCATTCTACTCTTGAGCCCCCACAACCTTTCCCCTGCCTCCTCCCAGTTTCCCCATGCCTCACTGTGCTTGTCCTCTCACATCAACTGTCCCCACAGGCCTCAAACCCTCTGTGGCAATCTCGGGGCTCTACCACTGTGTCTTCGGGAGGCCGTTTCCGCTGCCCATCTTGCAGACATGAGGTTGTCCTGGACCGACATGGTGTCTATGGCCTGCAGCGAAACCTGCTAGTGGAGAACATTATTGATATTTACAAGCAGGAGTCATCCCGGTGAGCTGGTCAGCGCCTCTTACCTCTTTAAAGGGCAGGGCCTGGGACAAAGCCAAAGAACCCATCAGGGCCAGAGGGAGGGACTGAAACGATCAACCTGCCTCTTCAGTTTAGAGATGAGAGAACTAGACCCCGAAAGAGGGAGGGACTTGCCCCAGGTCACCCAGAAAGGAAGAGCTCTAATTCCCTGGCCAATAATTCCCCTTTACCCTCTCCTCCTGAGGAGGGTCTGGCAGCCCACCAACAAAGTCCCTGTCAACCCCCATGACTTCCTGACCTATGGGGTTTCCCTGCTTCCTGGAATACACACTATTCTTGAATCCAGTCCTCCTCCAGCTCTTAGCTCCTTCTATACCCCAAGTAAGAGCACTGCAGAAGTCACTCACCTGCTGAGCCACAGCACCACCTGCAGGGGCAGAGAAGGTGGTGGCGGAGGCTGAAGAGAAGGTGCTCATGGGGCCCCACCCGCTCGGGGCCACCTCCTCTGGGCCTGGCCTCTGACCCACCTTGCCACTCTGCCCACTCCCCTCCAGGCCACTGCACTCCAAGGCTGAGCAGCACCTCATGTGCGAGGAGCATGAAGATGAGAAGATCAATATCTACTGCCTGAGCTGTGAAGTGCCCACCTGCTCTCTCTGCAAGGTCTTCGGTGCCCACAAGGACTGTGAGGTGGCCCCGCTGCCCACCATTTACAAGCGCCAGAAGGTATCAAGCAGGGGAGGAAGCAGGCATGTGGGAGTGGGGGCTTAGGACAGGCTCTCAAATTTCAGCTTCTTACTCCATCTTGCTTTAAAGTCCGTGGGCTGGCCAGTTAGCTCAGTCGGTTAGAGCACAGCTTTATAACACCAAGATCATGGGTTTGGATCCCTGTACCGGCCAGCTGCCAAAAACAAAATAAATAAATAAAATTCAGCAGATCAGGGCTAAAGTTCCAGCTCTGTGCTGGACTCAGTATGTGACCTTGGGTAAGTTACTTGACCTTTCTGGCCCTCTCTTTCCTCACTTGTAAAATGGGAATGAAAATACCTACATCAGAGAGCTGTTGTAAGGATAACATTAAATAATGGATAAAAGGTGGGCTAGATAGATACTTTCGAGGTCCTCTCATTAGCAAGCAACCAGATTCTGCGTAAAACATAATTTTGAAAATTATGTTGGTTGGCAAATAGGAAGTAAAGGGAATCTCCAGGTGGGGGTGGGGTGGGAAAAGGAGGGGAGAGTGAGGTGAAAACAGAACCCTGACTGGCAAGCACAGAAAAGGCAGCATTTCCCAGAGGCCCAGTGCTGGCAATATCACTGGGCTAGAGGGAAGAGACTATTGCCTCCAAACCCCTCCAAGATGGGGGACCTGCATCTAAGATTTCGAAGACGTCAGGTTAAACGGGAATCCGAAGCTCTAAAGTGGTCAATTGTGCCCCCTAGCTTTTGACAGAAGCAAATGCAAATTCTGCTTGGAGGAAAATATCCTCAATTTAGGCCCTTAGGTGTTCCTCAGATTAAGCTCAATAGTGGGGTTGGCCGGTTAGCTCAGTTGGTTAGAGTGCAGACTTATAACACCAAGGTCATGGGTTCAGATCCCCATACCAGCCAACCATCAAAAAAAAAAAATCAATAAAATATTAGCTGATAATTGAAAATACACAAAGAAATGTACTCCATGAATGAAGTCAAAAGAAACAAAAATTATAGGTTTAGATACCCAAGGAATTCAGGTGTTGGAATTACTAAAGAATAGAAAGTCACTATGAATAAAATGCTCTTTAAAAAATGGACTTTTAGGGCCGGCCCGTGGCTCACTCGGTAGAGTGCAGTGCTGATAACACCAAGGCCATGGGTTCGGATCCCATATAGGGATGGCTGGTTCGCTCACTGGCTGAGTGTGGTGCTGACAACACCAAAACAAGGGTTAAGATCCCCTTACCGGTCATCTTTAAAAAAAAAAAAATGGGCTTTTAAAACCAACCAATAGGGCCGGCCCGGTGGCGCACTGCTACAGTGCGCTGCTTGGGAGCGCAGCGGTGCTCCCGCCAAGGGTTCGGATCCCACATACAGACCGGCCACTCACTGGCTGAGCGAGGTACGGGCACAACACCGAGGGTTGCGATCCCGTTGCCGGTCCCGGTCCGGTACGGGCGCGACACTGAGGGTTGTGATCCGTTGCCAGTCACGAAAAAAGACAAAAAGGAAAAAAAAAATCCCAGAATGAGAAAATAAGGAGAATGGAGAAGAGACAATATTATCTAAATGGATAATCATGAAGAATTTTTCAGAACTGATGGAAGACATGAATCTACAGATAAAGCATCTAGTCTAGTGCCTGGCATTTGGTGGATGTTTTGAGAATGTCTATTCTTTTCCCATTTGGTGGGGAAGGGCTTCTTCTCTCCACCTCCTTCCAGAATCCACAGAACATTTCATACTTCTTGGGTGGTTCCATGCCTTCTAGATCTCTGTAGAAGCCCTGATTTGGGGAGGAGGGGAGGAGCAGCCCTCTCCTAGGCAGCCTTGGCTGGGGTGAGACTGGTGCAGCTCTAAGCCAGGTCCTCCAGCTCTAAGCTCTGACCTGTGTATGTGGCAGAGTGAGCTCAGCGATGGCATCGCGATGCTGGTGGCAGGCAATGACCGTGTGCAAGCAGTGATCACACAGATGGAGGAGGTGTGCCAGACCATCGAGGTGAGCCTGGACTGAGAGGGAGTGGGGAACAGAGACTGGCTGGCCTGGAGACCGCTAGATCCCAAGAGAACTGCTCCTCTCTGACCTCTGCCCAAAGTGGCCAAAAAGTTTCTGAGCTCCTGGAAGTGGTGGGATACACTAAGCCAGGCTGCTGGGTCTGAATACCAACTTTGCAGCTCACTAGCTCTGTAACTTTGGTCCAGTTATTTAACTTCTCTGTGCCTTGGTTTTGGTAGTTTTCAACTACATAAAATAGTGATGATTAGAATGATATAGTCTTTTTGAGAATTAAATGGAATAATGCAAGTAAAAACTAGGACCAGGGATATAGATGGCACTCAGTGAAGCTACTTTAAAATATCAGGTTGTTATTACCAAAGAGACCTGGACTGGATTCTGGCTCTGCCTCTAACTCACAGTGTAGCCAGGACAGATCATTTTCCTTCTTGGCTCTAAGTCCCATTAAGCGGGGAGTGGGTCAAGTAAATATCCAATGCTCTCCCAGCTATGGGGGCCTCAGACCTGCCCTCGCTCATCTGTGCTCCTGGTCTTTCAGGATAACAGCCGGAGGCAGAAGCAGTTGTTAAACCAGAAATTCGAGACCCTGTGCGCAGTGCTGGAGGAGCGCAAGGGCGAGCTGCTGCAAGCGCTGGCCCGGGAGCAGGAGGAGAAGCTGCAGCGCGTCCGCAGCCTCATCCGTCAGTATGGAGACCACCTGGAGGCCTCCTCTAAACTGGTGGAGTCTGCCATCCAGTCTATGGAGGAGCCACAGATGGCGCTCTACCTCCAGGTGGGTCCTGGGGGAGGCCGACAGAGCCACACAGTGGCTGATGTCCCGGCCTTAGCACCTGGAGACCCAGGTTCAAGTCTTGCCTCTTGCACCTACTTGTCCCCATGACCTCAGGCAAGTCACCCTCTCTGAGTTCGTTTTCTCCTTAGTGAATTGGGATATGCATCCCCACCTATCCCACAGGTCTGTGGTGAGAATCAGAACTGGGACTTTGCCAGGGCTGGCACAGTGCTGACTCTCATCCTCTTTTTCTTCCCTGCAGCAGGCCAAGGAGCTGATCAATAAGTGAGTAGGCAGAGTGGAAAGGGAGAGGAAGGGGCCACACACGCTCCACTAGCTGGGGAGGGGCGAGAGTGCCAGGGCATTGCCAACTGAGCCTCTGTGGCCCCCGCAGGGTCGGGATGATGTCGAAGGTGGAGCTGTCAGGACGGCCGGAGCCAGGCTACGAAAGCATGGAGAAGTTCACCCTGAGCGTGGAGCACGTGGCTGAAATGCTGAGGACCATCGACTTCCAGCCAGGTGAGGGAGCAAGGGAGCAAGAGGCCGGCCTCTGGGGTTGGGCGTTCAGACCCTTCGTGGGGGTGTGAGGTGGGTCTGACGGCCAGAAAAGCAGGGATGTCACCTCATGGGGCCTTCCTTTGGTTCAGGTGCTTCCGGGGAAGAAGAGGATGAGGAGCTGGAAGAGGGCAGTGCAGGGCCTGAGGAAGAGCGGCTAGCTGGGCCGGAAGGTGAGATGGCCCGAGGGGCTTTGGGGCGGGATATGGCTGGCACACTCCTGTCCCCACCTCCGTGATTGCCCTCCCTGTGGCACAAGGGGTTGCTTGCAGCACCCACTCCTAAGTGCCACCCAAACCTGCAGCCAAAAGGGAGTATCCCCTAGCCCGTGGAAAAGTACACTTTCTTTGCCCCCAGCCATTCCTCTGGGGCTTTTGGGAGACAGGATTGGGTCTGCAAGTAGAGGAGAAACCCATGTGGGGTTCTGCGTGGCTGGGCAAAGGGAGTGAGCGGGGGTCCGGGCTGCCTTGTTCCTTTGGACCTCCCACCCACTGAGCTTTCTTTCCTGGGCACAGGCCTGCACTGACCCTGAGCCCTGCACACCCCGGGCCTGGCGCTAGGTTGGTGGAGGATCTGCACTGGGACCCCGCACCACTCAGCTCATGCCCCAACCCGGGAAAGGGGCTCAATAAAGGACTCAGGCGTCCCAGACCAATATCTCCTTTCGCTGCCCACTCCCTCAGCCTCGGCTTGGGAGGCAATCTGCCACCATCCCGCCCTTCCCCGAACCTGACGCCATGTGGAGGGGGCGAAAGTTAATGGACCCCCATTGGGCACCTCCTTAAAGTCAGGAGTGGACTCACGAGCCCAGTGCCCTGGGAAGAGGGTCGAGGGTGGTGCAATGGTGCGTGAACCTCTGAATTCCTGGGGATTTGGGTAGCGATGGGGCCCACAGGAACCTGGCTGAAAGCCATTCTCCCGGAGACCCCCAACCCTGGCAGCATCTCGTTCCCTCCCGCTGGCCTGGGAGCCCCCACTTTCCCACGGTTCCCACCTTGCTGTGGTTGCCCACGCCCTCACGACAGAAGCCAAAGGCTCTTCAGCACGTTTATTACAAAATAGCCACTCAGAGAGTGCTTGAGGTGTCCCTGGGCCACTCTGCCCCAGGAGACTGGGTCAGTTCCGGTTGCGCCCGTCCCAGGCCCGGGCTGGGGGAAGGGGTCAAAGTTTTCGTGGCCGATCACTTGCCCACCGAGTCGAATATGATGCGGTTCTGCTCCGCGCGCTCCCGCTGGCTCTGCGTCCGCGCCAGCTCCAGCAGGGACCGCAGCAGGTGGAAGGTGAGGTCAATGGACAGTGGAGGGTTGTCCCGTCGCGGCCGCTCGCCTGCCGTCCCGGATCCCCATCGGCCCGGCCCCGCGCGGCGCGGGAAGCGCTCCGACAGCAGCAAGAGGAGCGCGCGGGCCCCGCCGCCCTGGTTCCGCTCCCCTGGGCTCCATCGCAGACTCGGGTCCTGGACCTCGGCCGCCGCCGTCGCCGCCCCTGCGCTCCACTGGCTGTTCCCGGGGCGCAGCTGTGCCAGGAGCAGCAGCGCCGCCAGCCGCGCCGCGCCTCCCGACTGCCTCATGGTGCCGCC